ATCTAAAATTTTATCTAAATAATATATACTACAAATCAGATGGATTATTTTTATTAAATATTCATAAGTAACCTTCATTTTAATTAACAGTTTGTTAATGAATTGTGGATATTAAAGTTTCTATATGAGCATATACTCGCTATTAGTTAATGTGAAAAATATAAAATGTGTATATATGGTTCATCTTTAATATCAACTTCTAAAATGTTTATATCAATTTGTCGTATTTTTATTAAGCCTTTTTTTATTTAAATGATAAAATATTTTATTACTGAGACAATATTAATAATAGCAGATTTTTTTAAAGTTCAATTTTATATTATTTTTATTTGTAATTTATGTTATTTATTTAATATTATGGAATGAAAATTATTTTTAAAGAGATTAATTTTATTTAAACTTATGGTTTGTTAGTAGTTTAATTGAATTTGGTGTTTAGAAAAACTAAATTTAAATTAATTTTATTAAACGTTTATCATATACTTTTATTTACGAAAATCAAAAAGCACCAGTGGTCTAGTGGTAGAATAGTACCCTGCCACGGTACAGACCCGGGTTCGATTCCCGGCTGGTGCAGTTTCATTTCGTTTTTTTTTTTAAATCTAATTGTATTTTTATTTATTCTAATATTTTAAAAACAAAATAGCTTCGAAATTAAAGCTGAAATTATTTAAATATTTTTCATTTTAAGCAATCAGAATACTTCCTTCATAAACTGAATTTAAATGTCTCAATACTTCATCACTCCTATAAAACCAAAATTTAGTACTTATAACAATTATATTTTTTTTATTTTTTAAATAATTCTTAGAAATATTAACTCAATTTTATGCTTAGATTACACTGCATATGCAAATTATGCTTAGATATCTTCTTTTTATATTCTTTAAAATAAAAAATAAGGTGGGAGATCTAAAAAGTGAAAAGATTTTATAGAAGAATTAAAAAATAAAAGCATAAAATAATCCAAATTTGTATATTATAGATTATTTTATACAAGTTGATTTAATGTATTTTTTATTTTTTTAATTTATACATAAATTAATTTTAATAAATGTACAAAAGATTTTGATGAGAAAACTTGTTAAAAGAAAGAAAGCAAGAATGAATTGGTAAAAGACGAAGAATAAAAATGTGTTTCATATTCTGTTCCTATTTTTATTATCTTTGATGGGAGGCGTGCGTGGCTTGGTCTTCCTTCTTCAATGGTTGGCCATAAAATTCTCCATCTTTATCTCTCCACGGTCAAACTCTTAGTGGGTGTCAAACAAAATGCAAGAATGAAAATCGTTCTTATCCAACTCACGCAAAAAATATTCCATACATAAACTTGTGAAAGTTACTTCCTTTACCACAGTTTAACATTGAGTTAGGGAGATAAAGATAAATATTAATTTTCATTATTTTTAATCAATATATGGTATTTTAACTTTCATATGTTTTCCTCATAAATTATAATAACTAATTAATTTAGTTACTATATTTTAATTTTACTGATATATATTTTAATTTTGATTTTGATTTAGTTTGAGTTTATTGTAATTATTAAATTAAAAATCGAATTCAACTGATCGTTATAAAAATTTTCAATAAAAAAAACTTAATTTTACTTAGTTTATAAATTTTTCAGATCGACTTTAAAAAAAAATATTTGAACTGGTTTGATTTTAAATATTGTTAATTATCTTAATATCCTCTCCATCTACAAAACTACTTACTATTCCTCTAGACTAAATATATTAAAAAATAAAAAAAAATGATAAAAAATAATTAGTACGAACTTAAATTTTGCAAATAACATATGTTTAAAAAAAAAAATTCACCAAAATTATTATATATATATATATATATATATTTTCAATTGCAATGTTGAGATTAAGATTAAAAAATCATACTGTTAAGGATAATTTGTTTGACATTGTGAAATAATATTTAAATATTGTATATATTTTTTATTTTAATTTCCCATGGCAATAGGTGGAAGCAAGGCCCCATGTATTTGTCTTCTCTAGCTTGAGTCAATAATAAAATTTATAGTTGGATTTTTATTTTGTTTTTTTAATGAAGACAACATAAGAAGTCATTAACAACTAAACAAACAGGTAATGAAAGCCAATGTAAAACAAGTTGGTTTTTGATTTCTTGATTTTGGGATAAACAAGGTACAAAAAGTTCTGTAGATTCGTACGTTTGGTGCCAAACTTGTGTAAAGGCCAAATGGTTAGCTTAGGAACCGTATCGTACCCGAAGCGCACCGTACCCAACCAAGTGGTGTAGTTTCGTTGAAGTATTAATTTCGGAACTAATAATAATAATAACAAAAAAAAGGCATCCGTACCTTATTCTCTCCGACGGTGACACATGGATTCTTCCACTGTATTCACACACCCTTTCTTTTAAGAAAATTAAAAATTTATAAACAAAACTATTTATAAAAGTTAAAATTGTAAAAATAAAAACTTTAAAACTATTTTACCAAAAACAAAACCCAAACTTCCAACTTTTTCCCTCTCTCGTGGCTTTTATTTCCGGTTATACATTCCATCCAGATATTTGTAATTAATGCATTGTCTTGCATTTATAAATTGGTTGATTTTGAAATTTTTACAAGTTAGCATATGAATTTCATTCTTTATACATTGACAGTATAATTTGTTACAATATCACCCAAAATATATTATTTATATTGATTTTTCAAAATAATTATTACAAAATTAATTAATATAATTCCACTTTGTGACTGAATTGTAACAATTATTCCCATTATATATCACTCATAGTTAATATATCACTATAAAGTAAAAATATATTTTTTAAAAAAAGTAAAACTATTATTCATTGTTAATATACCACTATTAAGTAAAAATATTTAAAAAAAAGTAAAACTATTATATTCACTGTTTTTGAACCGAATTAGAAATTAATAGTTATTTATAAATAATCAAATTTTAATTAAATTAAGATAAAATAAAAAATTGATAAATTTTAGTGGTAAATCCTAAATCTTAAATCCTAAACCCTAAAAAAATATTACTGATAAATTTATTATCTATTTATTGTATTATAAAATATTATTTTATTGATTTTTTCTAATTAAATATTTAAACTTTAAACCTATGCCTGTTTGATTTTTAAAATATTAATTATATAAACTAGAGTGTGTATGTATGCAAGTTGTTCTGAGAAGGTTAGGTAAAAAATTAATTACAATAAGTGCATTTTAAATTATAAAAAATGTTTAAATAAATGGTTAGGGGAGAATAACTTTTCTATCTAATTGTATAATTTGTTAGAAAGAAACGAAGAAAAGAAGTAACTTTTATTTATTATATTTATTGTTATTAATTTAATTATGTATTATTATAATTTTATAAAAAAAGAGTTAGAAAATTAAACCTATAATTAATTATATAAATAAAAAAATCGATTAATAAAGTGGCATAAGCAGAATCAATTAGAATACTTAAAACAATTAATTAATTATATTCATAACATAATCATATTGACGATAAGCATTTAAAAAAAACATTTTTTTCTTTTATTTTCTTTGTTCTTCCCATATTCCTCTAAGAGAAGACAACACAAGACACATTACACAGTGAAGTAGTTTAATGTGCATATGAAGTAGATGTAACGAGAATGCATTGTTATTTAAAATCTAAAATTTAACATTGAGAGAGAAAGAATATAAAACATAAAGTGGGTGTATTAACATTTTTGCACGTAACGATGAGCACACCCATCCCCATCTCTACCCTACACGGTTTGCATTCACCCCACCAGAGGAGCAAAACTCATCATAACCGTTTCTACTCCAAAACATCATGTTCCAAATTGGACAATCCACGGTCTCTATTTCCTGCGTACGTGATACGAAGTGTTTCTTTCACATTCCTATTGACTTGACCTTTCCAATATTGTACTAGTATAAAATTTGTATTATATTGCATTCTCAAAATAATTAAAAAATCATACAACAACTCTCTTTTTTTTCTTCTCTGCATTTCTCTCTCATAGTGGAAAGTGGTATTTATTAGGTGCAGGATTTTTATGTCCTTGACAGCATATTATAAGCTCAGGAAAAACAAGCACAACCTCTGCAGCAGGCTGGTTTGAATTTTTCTGTCCTTGAGGTAATGCAATTTTAGCATTTTACTAACACCCTTTTCTTCTTGCTATTTGGGATTTTTTTTAAAAAGAAAATTTGAAATTGAAGTTTATTTCTTTTATACCATTTGGCTTGCTGTGATGTAATTTACGTATGTTTTGTTTCTGTATCTGGGGTCTTCTTAATATTATAATAGTTTAATTGGCTTGTCACTTCTTTAAAATAATGCGTATTATTGTTATTGATTAGTGTAGTCAATGGGGACGTATAATGATGGGTGTTTCTGCAACTGCATTATCAATACAAATAAATAATAAGCAGCAGCAACAATAATAATAATTTTTAACCCATGGTTTCTGGTGATTTGAATTAAAGTGAGGATTTTTTTTGGGTGGATTAGTTTATTCTGGTATCTATGTGGGATTTGCAAGCATTTACGGAAGGTGGGGTTTGACTTTGTAGGTAAAAGGTGTCAGCTGTGAAGGTTACGGAAGGTCAAGTTTTTGATTGATTGGAGTTTCTGTTACCCCTACAGCACTTCATGTTTGTTGGCTTTTAATTGAGATTTTTCTCTTGGGGGGCTTCAATCACCGAATGGAATTGGATCTTTCATCACAGATCAGCTCATTGTTCCTGGGTTTTGATTGCTTTGAGTGGTTTTCTCATTCCATGTGGGAAGCTTTTGATTTTTCATGGTTCCATCCCTCAGTTGCTGTTGATGAGTTTGAGTAAATCTAGTCCCTGTGTCTCTCTAGTTAGTCTGAGAAGGTTGTTTTGGGGACCACCCTTTTGGCTTTAAGACTTTGTTCTCAGTTGTGAATAAAGTGTGATTTGGAAACTTGAAGGTGTTTCTAGATTTCTTTTTTTGTTCTGAAGAAGGGGTTGGGATAAGATGGATGAAGATAGCAGCAATTCTTGGTTAAGGAGGACCAAATTCTCCCACACAGTGTGTCATCGGTTGGATTATTCCAGTTCCAGATTAGGGTCTTTCAGCATTCAGCCAAGGACACAGCACAGTTCCAGTCTGAATTTAAGGCCAGGAGTAACTTTTGTTTCCAAGGCCTCCTCACAGGTTCAGAAGAAGCCCATGATGAGCAAGCAGAGATCTTTGTCCCCTTTGCCTGAAACCTCTCTCTCTGAATCCTTCAAGGAAGCTAGACATGAGCAGAAGAGGTTCTCCACACCTGGTCCAAGGAGGAAAGAGCATGATAAGAGAATCATGGGGAAGTTACTGAGCAAGGATTCTCATGAGTCCAATTCTAAATCACCTTACAGCAATCCAATGACTAAATCCCCTTACAGCAGTCCAATGACCAAATCCCCTTACAGCAGTCCAATTAGGCACCTTGCTTCGATGAAAGTAAGTGACAAATCCAAGCAGCGCAAGGATTCAGGATGGACAAAGTATTTTGACCATGGAGGAGGAAAGGTTACTGCTGTGGAAACAGCTGAGGAATGGAATGTTGACCTCTCTAAGCTCCTTGTTGGTGTAAGGTTTGCTCATGGGGCTCACAGTAGGCTTTACCATGGCATGTATAAGGATGAACCTGTGGCTGTAAAAATTATCAGGGTACCAGATGATGACGAAAATGGAATGTTGGCTGATCGTTTAGAGAAACAATTCATTAGAGAAGTGACACTTTTATCTCGTCTCCACCATCAAAATGTTCTGAAGGTAATCTATCCAATCCTTTACCTTTTTTTATATACAATATTTACAAACTTTAATTTGCTTCATTTCTTTTCTGATTAAAACAAGATATGTATGTCTATTATTTTTTAAACCTCCTTTAAAACCTTATAAAAGGAGGATAAGGTGGAACAAGAAGCACAGGACACATCATATTTTTAGTGAAGAACAGCACTGCACGCACTTGATGAACTTTTTTTAAGTTTTGTTCTTTGTTTTTTATTCTGATGCTATCTGTTTTTCTTGTTCAATACAAAGCGGGCATATCCCTTATCTTGTGCTACAATTACTGGACTTGACCCTTAAGTTATGTTTAAATAGTTACCTGTGTAAGTAAGAACAGTGCATTATATATCCTTTATTAGTCTGATTGCAAAGTTCATATAATGTTGAGAGAATTGAATGTGATTAGAGGCTGGCACATACTTATCACATTTATCTTGATCCAATTACACAGTTCGTGGCAGCATGCAGAAAACCACCTGTCTATTGTGTTATCACAGAGTATCTATCAGAAGGTTCCTTGAGGTCATATATGCATAAGTTGGAGAGAAAAGCTATTCCTCTAGAGAAGCTAATAGCTTTTGCTCTGGATATTGCTCGTGGAATGGAATATATACACTCTCAAGGTGTCATTCACCGAGATCTTAAACCGGAGAATGTCCTTATTAATGAAGACTTTCACCTTAAAATTGCTGATTTTGGCATTGCTTGTGAGGAAGAATACTGTGATTTATTTGCTGATGACCCTGGTACCTACCGCTGGATGGCACCTGAGATGATCAAACGAAAATCCTACGGGAGAAAGGTTGATGTATATAGTTTCGGGCTTATCTTATGGGAAATGGTGACTGGAACTATACCATATGAGGATATGACTCCCATCCAGGCTGCTTTTGCGGTAGTAAATAAGGTATGTTCCTTTGCATTAAGTCATGGATCAGTAATACCGATATCACAATCTTCTAATATTTGTAACTTCATTTGTCATTGCCAGTAACTGTATTCTTTGTAAAGCTTTGTATTGCTTTTCTGCACTATGCATTGAAATCCTGTCAATGATAGGAAAAGGTCCAAAACCCATTTATCCACTCAAATCCTACTTTTTCTATGTTTTTTTTTCCCTTTGGTGTTGTTGGTTGCTCAGGACCACTGGCATATAGATGCCAACTATAATTGTGTTCAGTTAATGACACACTTCACTTGCAGATAGACAATGAATAATATGTTCTGCAATCTTTGAGTGTATTTTATGAAAGTGACTGTTACTCTCACGTGTAGCAGGCATTTTTTGCCTTGTTGGCCAGGGCATGTTGATGCCTTCCAAGTTTTTGATTGTGGAGGAAAGGACATTTTTCCTCTCTTCAAAGCTTTCTCCACTTTACTTATATCATGATTTAAGTACTCTTTTCAATTTTCAGCCATTTTTTTCTTTCATTTATACTTGCTTTGTTTAACTTTTTATTTCATTGTTGATTGATGGTTTCCAAAGGAGGCATCATTCTCCTGGCCGAGGAAATCAATCATATTGCCACTGAATAAATTGCTAACAAGTTCCCCGTCTAATGAGTACTCTATATTTTATAGCTAAACCAAATGTATTGTTGAGATGCTGCTAAAATCCTTGGTTAGGTTTCTCCTTTGCTTTGAAAACAATGGCGGAAGTAATAGAAATTATTTTCATCCATTCTTGTCGTGTATGACTTACTAAATGAGAGGAAAAAGAGGCGTGGCATGCATTAGTTTATATGAAATCGTTACATGATATATCTGTTTCATCAAGTGATGTAGCATAGTAATTGATAAGATTGCCAAGAATGGAGCTTATTGGATTCTTAGGATCATCATGTAGTGGGAAATATTTGCTAGTGAAAGTTCAAGTGGCACTGATTACCTATGAAATTGTAATTTCTAATACTTTTGTGATTTTGTATTCAGAATTCAAGGCCAGTTATTCCTTCAGACTGTCCTGCTGCCATGCGAGCACTAATCGAGCAATGTTGGTCTTTGAATCCGGACAAGAGACCTGAGTTCTGGCAGGTTGTCAAGGTATTAGAACAGTTTGAATCTTCGATTGCTCGTGATGGAACCCTGACTCTGGTGCAAAACCCTTGTTGTCAAGATCATAAGAAGGGGCTTCTCCATTGGATTCAAAAGCTTGGTCCTGTGCATCAAAACAATGGCCCTGTGCCTAAACCCAAATTTACATGAGTCTTCAAAGTGGCCTGGCTTTTTGTAGTTTACCGGGTTCATTGTAATTAATATTGAAGGGTTTGGAATACCCAAAAGAAAAACCAAAGGTTTGTTTTTGAGGTTCTCAAGCTGTAGTCCTCCTTGTGTTGTTCATGTGAGAGTAAATTGATTTGTAGGCCTGTACATTGAAGTGGAGACATCTTCTATTTTTATTGTTGTGTATACCACCAATTACAACTAAGTAATTGCACTAGGTTAAAAGTTTTCCTTTTGGGGGAGTGGGGGCACAATTTATACTTTATTTGTTATAGAAGGTACTTGTATTTTTTAGTTTCTGTAAGGTCAAAGTTTTAATTCCATATTTTTGTGCCATTTTCTTTACTTATGCAACGAACCTAGCACACTCAACTGGTGAGAGTGTAGTTCATAATTACTTATTTTGCTTTGGCTGTAGTTCTGTTTTACTCTTTTGCATCATAAAATTGAATTTAAAGTAGACTATGCCATTCAACTTAATGATGTGAAATGTTAAAACTCTGACACCGTAGCACCAATCAATTGCTAAGGGAAAATGGTGAAAATGAGAAAAAGAAATGACATGGATGGAAGACATGATGGTGTATCAAACAGTCATACAAGATATTTGTTGAGATTGAAGGGTATTAAAGTAACTAAAAGGGTTTTAGGTAGCTGATATGGATCAACACCTTTTATTGCTGATTACTTTTCCTATCTAAAAATGTCTCAGTATTCAGTGACTTAATGCAGAGGTAGGTTTGGGAATGCATGTGACAATAAAGCTAGGTGTTAGGGGCTTTTGCTTTTGTTGTTTAGGCAATATACTCTGCCTTCGACCACCTGTGGTTTCAACTAACTAACTAAATACTTGTAGAATATGTTATTCCTCATTGAAAGCTTAAATATCATAACCTTTATTATTTGTTTGCTGTTTGTTGAACACGTAAATGAGTCACATTCAGAACACTTTACCCATAAATGACATGGTAGGAGCAGGTTTATGCTAGTGTTATCAAATTATAGCTTTAGCACTTTTACATGCAGGACTTAAGTATGTTCAATGAATCTGAAGGATTGCATGTGACTAGCTAAATTCTAATGGATCAGTTGGCTATGCCAAGGCCTTGAGATGAGTATTACAGCATTAGGTGAAGAAAGGCTACGTTTGTTTGTTTGTTTAGGGGCATGTAGCAGTGTGACTAAGCCAGCATGCAAGTTGAAGATTAAATATTCAGTGTGGTGGTGATGTAATTTGACTAATCTTCTTGTTTTGTCGAAATGCAATGTTTTTGCTGACCTATGCCCTCGGTTAAGTGGCCATGCATTTGCAAGCATAAGCAGCATCATCATCATCACGTTATAAATTATTGAAACGTTATTGCAGTAGGTCCCGTGATAGGTACCTTCTTTTTGAAAGTGGATTTTCTTTCATTGGGTTTTTTCTGTTCCAAACAGGACAAGACTGAGTAGTTTTTGGGCCCTTTAGCAACTTGTTCTCAGGGTTCTCATGATCATTCATTGTTTGTTTGTGAACTGTGATTCATCTACAAAAACAATTGCAGGGTATTCTTGCATTTAATTATGACTATGATTTAAGCTTTGTGTTGTTGCCATCAATAAAGCCATGTAAAAGTTTACGTTAGTGGCATCATTTTATGCGTCTTTTCCTTTTCACTGTTTTGTTGCTATTATTTCCAGAATTCATCACATTTTTTGTGGATCTTAATTAAAATTGTTTAAATAAGAATTTTTAATTGTGAAATCTATATTAAAATAATATTCTCCAATTTTATATTTTTTCTAAATAAAAAATCACGTGTTAAAAATTATTTATCAATGAAGGAGTATTTGAGGAAGAAAATAAACCTTATTTCTAAAATTTTTTACTAACTGAAAATTTTGGATCTTATCATTAATATTTTATAAAAACGTTATTGCAAGAATATTTTCTGAAGCATTAATTTCTAATTTTATATAATTATTTATCTTCTATCTTTAAAATATTTATCAAATTTTTACATAAAATAAGAGTTTATTATTTTTTTCATATAAAACAAAACATTCTTAAATTTATATTGATGCTTTCTTAACTAGTACACTATTTATAGTTTTAATTTTATATTTCACTATACTGATAAAATGGTTTGTGTATTTTTTATAATTAGGTATAGATTTCGTCCTCCAAATATGATTTTATCTATTTTTAATTTTAAATTTATGATACTTTTTTTTAAATTGCCTTTATATTGTATCGTTCATAATATATTTAAAATTTAAATATATTATGATTATTTTATTGATAAAAACATTTAATATTTTACTTAATTAAATTATAACATTGAAAATAATATATTTATTTTAAAGATAAAATATATTTTTTTATATAATAATTATGAAAAATATTTATATTTAGTATAATAGTTTTTTTTTATTTCTATATAACATTAATTACTTCGTTAAGGTTTTAATTATTACATTTAAAAAAATAGTTAGTTTTATATCGTGTAAATTATTAAGAGATGTCTATGCTATCTATGTGATTTTAATTATTAAAAAAGTTTCATTTTAAGAAATATTATGACTAACTGTGGATGCATACAATCAAAATTGTCAAGTTTGTAAAATTTTCTATCAATAAATTTTGAACATATAAAAAAACAAATTATTTTCTAATAATAATGATTGAAAAAATAATAAAATAATGAATAAAAATCAACCGAAATATTTTAATTTTATTAAATACAAGTATTTTTTATAATTATTATTCTGCAAATATATTTTATCCTTATGTTAAAATACTTTTTATTTGATGCTAAATTAATTATAATTAAATAGTACAGACTAAAAATAACACTAACAAAACGTAAAAGATTTTAAAATAGAAAAAAGAAACACTAAAACTCTAATAGTTCTTCTGTTGAAGATATTTGTGATTACTTGTGTCATCAACCCTATTCTTTTAACGAAAAAAAAACCCAAAGAATGATGCCCAAGAAAGTAGTAACAGCCCTAGATCTTTAATGGGCTTTCAACGGGCCCAGATTGAAGAACCCATAATGTAATCTTTGATTTGATCAATACAAATGGGTCTTAACTGGTCCTACTTTAAAATTTATAAGAAATTTTCAGTATAGTATATTTAAATTGTAAAGTGAGGGTTTTAAATTTAAGACGTAGGTAGTTAAAAATGGAAAGTATTTATTTAATTATATAATTAATTTTTTTTTAATTTAGCATGAAAGCAAAGAGTGGGTGATGATTGGCAGGAAGATCTTAAAAAAGTTACTTTTTAATTTAGCATTTTATTTTAAAAAACAAAACATAAAATAAAACTTTTTTTTTTTAGAATTAAGAACAAACAAAGATACCCATTTATTTTTATGGTCAAACATGTTTTTAAGAATATAAGCGATAGCGACGGATCAAATTTTAACATTAAATCGTCGTAGAAAAACTCAAATTCTGTAACGTTAATGTGTATTTGTGCTGCATTTAACACACCTTTCAATGACCATCATTCATTCAAATCATTGAGTGCGTTTGAACTTTGAATCGCGAAATTGTATAATTGATTTTCAATCAAATGAGTTTATAAAATAGATTTTAAGTCAATGTAAGTTTATAAATAGTGTGATTTTTATCTAGTTAGATGTTAAAAATTTATTTGAGATATATGTAATCAAAATTAATTTTTATTACTAAAATATTGAGAGATAAATCAAATATATTCATTTTCAAATATAACATTTAATTATTTATTATTATTATTATTATAAAAATAATATTTTAAAGAATTAAGAAATAATAAATAAATTGAAACCGAATAGTAGAAGAATCATTTAGCTCATTGACACCCTATACCACTAAAACCTATGCATTATAATTTATAATTCTTAACATAGTCGATACTTTTCGCAATTATAATTAAATAATTTCATTCTTCATAATAATTAAAAGATCATGTACGAATACCCTTTATGAATAAAATCTTAAATATATAAACCCAAAATATATATACTAAAAATAATTCTTTTATTAAATAAGTTATATACGTCTATTATTGTTCTTATATATGAATATTTTTTTAATGTTGATTTAATAAAAAAACAAGAGAAATCTCATTACAATAATATTATAAGTTACTAAACCGATTTGAGTGTAGGATTATACATGTAGAAATCCAATGGAGAAAAGTATATATTTCTTAGATAGAAACAGTCAAAGACAACCTGCGTATCATGAAACTAAGAATATATTTAGGAAGGAGTTATTTAAAAATAAAAGAATTATTAAAATAAAAAAATTGTTTAAAATTTTAAAAAAATATATTTAAATAAACAACACTAATCATATTTTAATTTAACTATAAAATTTATAATAAAATAATTTATTTTATTCTTATCCAAATAAAAACTTCTTTTTTCAATCTCCTAATCCGACAAATGGTACCCCACCACGTCTCATATCACAGAACCTTTATCAGTAGCATCTAATCATATTAACTTGCTTTTCTAGAAGCCACCAAAAACTCCAGTACCTTGCAACCCTTATCAGGTAAGTGTTTCAGTTTTATATAACCACGAGTTTCTGAGCTTTGGAGGTTGAGCTATTGCATTCTTGGGGGATATTATTCATGGAGAACAACCCTAGTTCATCAAGAAATGATAGAAAATTCGTTGAGAGGACTAGAAGAAATCAAATGAAGGATCTATTCTCCAATCTCAACTCAGTTATGCCTCATCAAAGTTCAAGGGTATATGACCCTCTTTCTCTTCCCTTTTCTGGTTAAGTATGCAACCAAATGCTTATATGCTCACGAAAGACCCAATTTCATTTGAATCTTTGCAGGAGGGGATTCCACGGTCAGATCAGATAGGTGAAGCCACAAACTACATAAAGAATTTACAGATTAAGCTGGAGAAAATGAAGGAGAAAAGACACAACCTAACAGACATTGAAAGGTCAAAAAATGGTAGCATGAATATGGGATTTTGTCCAGAATTTAAGATCCAACAAATGGGTTCAGTCTTGGAGGTTGTTCTAGTAACTGGGTTGGATTGTCAATTCATGTTCAATGAGACCATTCGTATCATTCAAGAAGAAGGATCAGATATAGTCAATGCCAGTTACACAGTCGTTGAAAATGCAGTTTTCCATACAATACACTGTCAGGTGAGCTATATTAATTCTCCATATCCCATCAATTTCATTCTTCATAAGCATATTAGGTCATTTATTTAATTTGCATGATTCTATATATAAAAAAATGTATTTTCTAAACTATCATTAATCATATATATTCAAGATTGAACTTACATAGAAATTATCTTGAAGAATATCTTTAAACATGTTGTTTGCATTTTTCAGGTAGATGAATCTGCCAATGAAGCTTTGAGAATATCAGAGAAACTGAAGAATTATGGCAATGGTTGGTAGCATTAATTGTTGGTGGAAATCTAAATTGTATTATTCCAAGAGGATACCATTGTTTTATCTTGTGAGCACATTTCTATTCACTGTCTTGTTGGCTTGCAATATTGAGATTCGGTTTGTACATATTGATGTTGCAAAATCTGATGAAAAGGTTGTTTTGTTTGTTTTATAGTTACAATTACACGTATTCCGATTTCATTCTGCATGTGATTGGAAGCTTAGTGAGCCTGTTCGGGAAAGAGAAAAAAAAAAAAAAAATACAAGAGAATAACGAAGGAATGGTAGTTCACAGAATGAATCCAAGAGAAGATGCATGCATATTAATTCATGAATGAATATCAACGTGTAAACTTAAAAATAGTAGAAACTATATTTTGTATCAGTAAGTTATACTACATGCTAAGTGTCAGTTACTTGGTAAGAGAACAAACCTACAAAATCATGGTGTTGGCCCAAGCCTTTCTAATTAAGACTAGGTTGAACTAATTAACCTTATTTATTTTTTATTTTTTTAAATTGAACTCAAATATTACAAACCTTTCTATTATCATGCAAATAGAATTGATAACTTCGGTTAAATTAAATTAAAATTTGGATCACAAAATATCATATAAATTAGAATTTAAAGATAAAGTTAAATAAGATAGGATAACTTATTTTTTCGGATAAAATAAAGTAGATTTATTTTTATTTTCTTTAACATATCTAGAGTATAAGTAATGAATAAGTAAGAGAATTTGTTTAGAAATAGATAACCTAACACGAAGTGGGTGAGGTTTCGTTTTGTTAAATTCTATTTTTTCTTTTCAAAAAAATTCTTTAAAATCCTTTCATTAGAAATAAAAAATCAAATAAGATATTCTTATATTTTTAAAAAGGTTCAAATCTCTTAAATATATAATTCGCTCTTAAATATTTATAATATTTTTAAAAGAAAAAAATTTATCCTTAAGTTCGTCTCTGTACTAATTTTCGTTGAAATACCTCATGTCAAAAGATACGCTAATCTTCTAGAAGACAAACTCATTAAAACTTATTTAATCTCATCTTCCAAAATTCGTAAGATCTATATTTTTAAATCTTATTTTCCAATATTCTTAAGATCTATATTTTCACGATAAAATCTTTAACATTATTCAATTCTTAAAAATACTATTTTCTAAGATTCTGAAGATCAATATCATGTCAAACTTCTAAAAATACTTCTATAATTTTTTGAAGAGTTTTATCTAAAGATTCAGGATAAAAATTTTTAAATTATGCATACTTAACTTAAATCCTATTTTGTGAATATGAAATGAGATATAAAATACAAAATTAAAGACATGATAAACAACAAAATGGTTATGTATTAAATTTTACAGTCATAAAACAGGAGTAAGATATTATTTAAATCGACATAATCTTTATCAACAATAATGGCTATTTTAATAAGAAAACTAATGTTTTATTAAATAAAAAGTGCTAGTATAAACAGTATATAAGAAAACCAACACCTAAAATAGAGTACAAAAGAAGGTAGGAGCTCTGCACAAAATGCAGAGCTTGTATCTGACAGTGTATATCCATATCTAACCCCAAAAACCTACATTTTAAATCTAAGAATTATTTTATTTGAAAACAAGTTTAAACAACTTTTCAAAAACATTTCATCGAAAACATAAAATATTTTTTATAGATTTTTACTTGCATGTTCCTTCCTACTCATGTAGCAGTAATGACATCTTGGGTTGCAAAGTCGCAGGCCACTGTAAGTTGTATAAAATTCTGTGAACCCAGAAACCGAATGAACTTGTTAATGGTGATTTTCAACCTCTGCACATGTTTGCTGTCTAAATACAATCAATCAGACATGTTTCTACTTAACTGGGTTGTTCGTATTCAGCACATAGAAAAGGAAAGTAACCAGTGTTGTAAGGGACTTTGTTCCTTTGTTTGTTGTTTTGCTTTCCCTTTGTCGCTCCCCACCAGATAATGGGTGAGACTTAAAAGTTACAGTCAGATTACTATTTTTTGCAAAGGTTTTTCAACTTTTATTAACCAGATTTAAAACATATATATACATACAATTTAACCTACCTTCTTGGATTTTTTTTGTTTTTTGTTTTTAATATAATTTTTGTTAGGGTTTCCTCAATAACTTCACTATCTCTTTATTCTTGTTTTTAATACAACGAACTTGTAAATGTTTTATTAACAGATACATGACGAAATTAAACTGAATCTTAGACACAAGCTTGCTAAAATACTGTAAAATATTTACATTTTTTATAAAATATCGAAACACTTAATAGAATGTCAAACTTTTATAAAATCCTCGTAATTAAATATGTTTAAGAGGGGATATTAAAAGTAATTTATATATATATATATATATATATATATATATATATTTTTTTCTTAATTTATCAAGATATTTAAAAAAAATACGACAGTCGAAAATTTCGAAATAAACTTAAAAATGACTCTAATTATATTATCACAACGTTATGTTATTAAAAAGACGTGATTAAAATATAAAAAAAACATTTATGATTTTTACTATAAAAAAATACATATGAATTGTATTTTTAATAGATTTTTACGTGGATTTTTATAAGATTAATTATTTTAAAAAATAAAAATCTTACTAAATATGAAAGATGGTATTAGTGGTACCTCTTATACTCTAACCCGTTATAAAATATATATTTGGCAACAACAAAGTTATATTAATCTTCAAGTTTTATCAAATTATGTTTTCTATCTCTACTCAAATATAGGACAAAATATCTAATTTGATACCAATTAAAATATTAGTTTTTATTTAATTTTATTAACTTTAAAAGAAAATGCCTATTTTGAGTTATCATTTATCATATTAATTGGATATGATATTCATATTTAAATTTTAAAATAGTTCGAATAATGAAATTAAATAAGATTTTATTAACTAAAATTTAAGATATTTTAATCCATCAATCTTTAATATATATTTTTTGTTTATATTAAATATAGCTCAAATACTAATAATTTCATCTCCCTCCTAAAATCCAACACCAACAAACTGAAAATATTCTCCAATTCTACTTATATTATAAGAGCCAGAACCAATAACAAGCAAGGTTGCTTAAAGATAAAATAATTGTTTCTGAAATAAATAATAATAATAATAATAATAATAATAATAAATTATCCAAAAAGCATACGTATTTTTCTTCTTGAAAAAACTATTTATTTTTAAATAAGCATACTAGACAAAGGATGAATTTACTTGTACTCAGTGGAAAAAGAAAAAAAAAAGCATTTGTTTGATAGAATGAGCAGATTTCATAATTTTTTTTATGTATTTATAAATTTTGTTTATTTTAAAAATAAGCAATTTTTTATTTATTTTTTAATAAACAAATATTGTCTTAAAATTGCTAGTTCAAAAAAACTTGTTTTAAATTTAATCCAACTGACCCAAAAATATAAAAAAATTAAAAGAAAATGTTTATTTTATTAAAATAAACACTTCTTAAAAAAAATACAAAAAAATATGTTCAACATAATAATAATAATATCCACATCCATTTAAAAAAAAAAGTTAATAGTGAACAACCTGGTATAGTTTGCATAATTAATTGCAAACTTTAGGCCCAATAGGAAAACCAGCCCATGAAAACATTGGTCCAACTCAATAGGTAGAGGTCAACATGAACGTAGTATTTGATGCTTTCAAAGTTTAATATACAAAGATAACATTTATGGTCTCACGTGAAGGTTTTAACCTAAAATTTTGTGACACTGATTTCTTTTTATATTATGCTTGGCTTCATTAATTTAAAGGTTGGATAACTCTGGTTATATTTCTATAGTCAACTACCGTTAAACTTCTTCAACAAGACATCAGATTCCCATGGCAATGTTGGAAGTCAACCTGTTTTGTTTTCATTTTTATTTTTATTTTTATTTCCTTTTATTCATTTCAAGTATCATTAAAATTACAAATAAACATATGAAAAATTGTAAGTTGCATCAAGATTGCATATTTTTTTCTAATGGGAGAACTAAAATCTTGTAAAAATATATAAAATACCAAAATATCAGATCGAGAAATAAATGAAAGAAATTTACAAGTATATTTTTTTTTCTTGTCTCGTGTGTTTCCTAAATTCATTGAGTTAGAAGCTAATCTTGTTTGAAATATTGATGTTGCGGACTTCACAAGCTTTTGTACAAGATGACAAATCAACACTAGTTTTCTATTACATTTTACATGGATTGTTCCATACTTTAAGAGAGTGTCATATCTTAAATTATATATTTTTTATTTAATTATTCTTTTCTTGAAAAAAAAAAGTTTCTATAGATGTAACCCTTTTTGTGTCACCTTTTTATCTCCTTTAATTTTTTTTTTATCTAAACTTGTAATGAATAAAATAGATTAGATAATATTAAAAAAATTATCTTTAAATACAAAAACTAAAATATAACATTTGTTTAAGTTCAATATCAAAATAAGTAATTAATTCTGAAGAAATTTAGATTTTTGTTTTTACAAAACTTAAATAATAATAATAAAAATAATAATAAAAGACAATAAAATAAATTAGACTTAAACTAAGTTCATATTATCTCATAATTTATTTCAAGTTAATAGGATAGGTAATTTTAACTCATAAACTTATTTGCATATGTCTTACCTATTATGTTAACATAATAAATCAAGGACGACGAGATACAACCGTTTTTAAAAAATATTTATATATTAAAATTAAAATTAAAATATTATATTTTTATATTATATTATTAGATATATAAATATATTATAATTTAAATTGTATATACTAATTAATTAAATTTAAATTATAGATTATAATTAAGTATTTTAACATATAAAATAATAATTTTTTTAATTTATGTAATATAAATATTAATTATAAATAAAAATTTAAAAAATATTTATATAATTAAAGATATATTTCTTTAAAAATATATATAAAAATATTAATATTTTATTCACTAACATAGTGACTTAACCAATTGTAATAAGTCATCTACTTATTTTTTTATCAGAAATGTAGAAGTCCAATCTACTCGTAATAATAAGATATTTTTCCATCACTTTTTCTTTGTTATTTAAAAAATTTAAAGAGAATTTTAACTTGACATAGCATCTCCGAGTTAATTTAAAAAAAAATTACTTAAAATAAAAATTTTTTTATTATAGATTTGACAACTAAATTATTTAAAAGTAAAAAAAATATTTAAAATTTAAAAAATATATTTTATAAATAATTTTTATCAAATTTTAAATAATTTCATTATAAAATTTATAATAACATATTTAATTTTATTCTTAAATAACATTTATTAAAAATTTCCTGCGGATATATTGTAATTTCTCAAGTTTAAAGAAAATGAAGGAACGCACCTTATCAATTCGAAAAGACAATTTTGTCCCCAACATACGAAGCTTGCAGTGTATGTGAAAAATCATTTAACATATTAAAAATTCTTTTAAACTAAATCTGAAACTTTTTAGAAGAATTTTAATTAATTAAAACTAGATTTAATTGGTTAAAATACATTTTAATAAATTAAGCAGAGAGACAATTTTCAATAAATTAACTAAAATTTATTTTTAACTGATTAAAATATTATTATAACAATCAAGAAAAATTTAACTCATTAGAACGCATAAACTTTCTCAACTTTAGGTAAATTATTTATTTAACGTAATTAAAGATAAAAAAATTACTTTAAACACTTATAGCATATAAATTATAATTCAAACCTGAAAGATCAATATTATCATGTAGTAATTAGGATTATCAATTCATCACACTTTAAATTTTTTTAATTTCTATGTACATTTTTTTTATATATTTATTGAGATTTCGGTTTTATTGTTAATATTTTATTAATTTTAAATTAATAAATAATACTTTTTAATTTTGAAATACCAAATTTGTTTCTTTTCTCTATTATTTTTATTTTATTGATAAAATATTAAAATATTTGCAAAATTAATAAACAATTTTTATTATTAAAATATTTTACTTCAATAACTCAATTACTTACGTTGATAAACAAAGAAAATCAAATTTCTATTTTTATTAAACTAAATAACTCTATTTTTAATCACTTTTTCTTTGTTGTTTGTTCCTTCCTTTTTATAATCATCTTATGTTACATCTTAAAGATAAAAACAAACACAGCAGAAAAGTTGCATTTATGTTTCTTGTTGGGTGGACAGGATAATAGTTTGTGTACGTACAAACGGCTTTATTTTAGACCGTTCGGGGCAGAACATTTTTTTGTCCATATATTAGCGTCCTTTTCCGTCGAAAATTACTGGAAAAAAAGTGTGCAGAAAACAATCATATTTATGTATTCAACTTTTATTTAGGTTGTTAAATCATATTTCGGTTATAACGGACCAATTATAATTTATATTATAGTTCACATAATTTTTTTTACATTAAAATTAAAATTAGTCTTGAGTTGAAAACAAAATAACTTTTTTATTAGATAAAAACTTATATTTTTTATTTCTTTAAAGTATAATTATGCAAAACATCATTATTTCTCTGTAAAATTCAATTTATTTAAAAGTAATTGTATGAATCACGGAAATAGATAAATTAAGCTCAGACCTTGTGTTGTAACATGTCAAAATAATTTAATAACTTCGTAACATTAAAAAACATCAAATACTTTTATTTACTTTATTATTGAATATTAAAACATGTTTACGTTATTGATAAAATTCCATTTTTTTTTTCTGTTGCAGCTTTTTATTTCAATTTTAGTATTTTAATATACTATTTTTAACTTTGGTTCCTATGACATTTTACTTTATTAATCTTTTCCTTTTAAAAAAATAATAGAGTGGAAGCGCATAATCTGTTTATTACAAGAATAAAAACTATATATATATATATATATATATATATATATATATATATATATATATATATATATATATATATATATTCACCAATCTTCACATTACACAAATTTATTTTATAACACATACATTTATCATATATTCATATAATTTTACATTCATAGAAACACTTTGTAAAAAACTAAATATTAAGAGATTTCGTATATGTTTTACTACAATTTCTCAAAGTACTCAATATTAGGGTGCTGTCAATGGTAAATACTCTCATATGTGAAAGACATTGTCTTATCAAGTATAATTATTTTTTACACTATTATCTTAATCTAAAAAATCTTATTTAACTTTTATCATATAATTTTTTCGTTTATTCGTTTATGTGATTATAATGATAAATAGAGTTAAAATAATCTCTTATTAAATCTAAAATTTAATATCTATACATTTCATTCCAACATAATTCATAATATGTTTAAAAATGTCATCTAATTAAATTTAGTATTTAACTTTACATTTAAATACAAAGATTTATAACAAATAATTTTATCCAATCAAATAGACTTCTTTTAAAGATTTAAAAGTCATATGAGATTTTTTTTTTTACTAAACTCGTTTAGCAAAATTTAGAAGCGTTTAGTGAATTTCAAAATCATTAAGTAAGATTGAAATAGTGAGCGGATGCAAACACATTTTATGTTCATTTTTACCAATTTCTTTTGTTGAGCGAAATTGAATTCCAGTGAACAAATTTTACACATAATTAAACATTTGCTACTACCTCAAATTCATTAGACAAATTTAAATGCATGAAATAAAATCTAAGTTTTCTAACATAATTTAAAATTCGAAAATGAAATTAAATTTATGGGCAGATCTATAACAGTACCAAATTTGCATAATTTATCCTATATTTTATTTTAAAGCTCCAAATCAAATTAAATTCAAACATCACCCTACAAATTACAAATTAAATCACAAAATTTAATCTAAGTACAAAACAACTACACAAAATAATGTAATTTTAAATCTCATACAAACCAATTAAAAAAATGAGTTTTTTTAAACCTACGAGTAATCGTAAATTATTACATGCAAAAATCACTTAAATTAAACAAAAATAACTTAAGGCAAAAAATAAAATGAGAAAGTTCATGAGAAGTAAAAAAAAGGTTATAAAGACATAGTGATTTTTATAATAAATTTTAAATGATTAAGTTTATTATTTACTTAATGAAATTTCACACTTTACTCTATTAAATCACTTCAGTATTCTCAATTTAGTTATAGACATTATCACATTTATTAAATTAAATTATGTTTATGTTTATATGGTGTTGTTCAATGGGTGATCATATTTTAATCTAGAATAATTAAAATACCTAACAAAGTTTAAATAAAAGAAGAGAGACAAGTATCAAAGTTGTACAACACATATTAAATTATTGTTTTAATATTTAGAACTTTGATCAGAGAACTTCAAATTGGAGTGGTAAATTTAACACTTAATTCTTATACAAATTTATAGTAAAGTATACCATTGTAAATAGTAACAAATTTAAGAATAAAAAGTTAAATTAATTTAGTTATAAAAAATTATAAAAGTGTAGATTTTATAAGACGTCAACTGTTAAAATAATATTCTCAAAAGTTAAAAAGTAAAAAAAATGTGACATGGTAAAATATACCATCCAATAAAAAAAATATATATATATATATATATATATATATAAATATTTATAGTTCGACAAAAATTATAACTACATATGTTAAATTTTTTTAATCATTATTATAATAAAATTTATTTATCACATTGTTAAGAATAGAATGAAATTTCTTATCCGATATAATTATTATGAAACTACATTTTAGTAGTTCCATTAAAAAAATGTTTGTCAATAATTATTTTTGATATAAATTTTTTATATTTGTTGAAATATGTCTTTAATTATATAAATAATTTTTAAGATTTATTTATTAATTAATATTTTTATTAGATAAATTAAAAATTTACTATATTTATATATTTAAATCTTTAACTAATTTAAACTTATTCATTAATTTTTTTAATATATAAATATTTTTAATTATACTCCATATTTCCTCTTTTATGTTTAAAAATAAAACCTTATTGTGGGTTTGCGTATCTTAATGCACAAGTCATTATTGTTTCCTCTCTAATAAATAAATGCCTTACCAGAAACTCAAACCAAATTGTCTGAAGTGAGTAATAAAAAACGCATGACTATTACCCAAACCTTGGAAACTTCTACATAAGTCTCGTAAGAAGTGCAAAATTCTATATATCCATTGCATGTGCATTCATCTCCCATTTGCACATTCTTAGGTATAAGATGTTCTCAACCGGTATGAACCAGTGAAGGCAGGGTTACAACTTTACTGCACTTTTGATAGTAAAACCACCACTTTAGGGTAATAATCTAAAAAAAATGGTGTATATATATATATATATATATAATTATAATAAATATTTAGGTTAATGTAACAAACACGTGTCTTCTATTTATTATCACTGTATTTTTAAAATCTTTATATGAGATTTCAAAGTCTCACCTTCACTAACTTGTACTTGATGATAATAATAATTTTCCACACCAGGCTATCCTTCATGATAAAAACATAAGTAATATATATGTTATGTAACTTACTACAGTAGTGTGGTATTGTGTAAAAAACTGAGAGATTCAATTCATTCAGGTTGAGGTTGGGATCTTGCAGTTCAATTCTACCTTCCTCAAGACTCACCTAACGTTGGCAATTCCTTTGCCTAGTTTTCACTCTCATCCCAACCCACAAAACTAATAAGCTAAGCTAGGTACCATTAACAAGGAAACACTCGCTGTCATAATCTTCTTTCACAATTTTTGTTTACATATCAATAAAAACCGCAGAGAATCCCGGCACCAGCCCCTATAAATCAACCTCTGTCAGTCTTACATACTACACACTGCTCTCTCTCCTTCCCTCTCCCTCTCTCTCTCTCTCTTGCTTGGAGCAATGGCCAAATCCATGGCATTAGTGCTGTTCATGCTCCTAGTGAATGTGTTTGCCGAAGACCTTCACACTCTTCCATCACCTCACTCCCCCACACCAGCCCCATTTCATCCCCCGACTTACCCACCTGCAAACGCCCCTCACCACCACCACCACCATCACCACCAACACCCACCAGCCCCTGCTCCTATTCACCCTCCTTTTTCCCCTACCCACCCACATTTCCCTCCAACCCCTGCTCACCCTCCAACTCATTACCATCACCATCACCCTTCTGCTCCTAAATCTCCAGTTCCAGTCCACCCTCCTCTCAATCCTCCGGTTCCAGTCCACCCTCCTCTCAATCCTCCGGTTCCAGCCCACTCTCCTCACAAATCTCCGGTTCCAGTTCATCCTCCTCATAAATCTCCGGTTCCAGTTCACCCTCCTCATAAATCTCCGGTTCCAGTTCACCCTCCTCACAAATCTCCGGTTCCAGTTCACCCTCCCGTCAAGCCCCCAGTTCCAGTTCACCCTCCTGTCAAGCCCCCAGTTCCAGTGCTCCCTCCTGTCAAGCCTCCGGTTCCTGTCCATCCTCCTGCTCCGGTGCATCCCTTCCCTAGAAGCTTTGTGGCAGTTCAAGGTGTTGTCTACGTGAAGTCCTGCAAGTATGCCGGGGTTGACACCCTCTTGGGAGCCACACCACTGCTTGGTTAGTCTTCATTAACCACTCTTATTTGTTGTTTCCTTTTTCTGCTGCAAAGATAAATAAAATACTTAATACTATATGTCTAGCTCAAAAACCGCATGCTGTTCCATCCAAGTACATGCTTTACTTCCCAAAAAAATAACTTCTTGCATATTTTGTATCACTTTCTTTAGATCTGGTCTTTTTGCTTGTTCTTCTACCTTTTTGCTCGGAAGTTAACTACATTTTTATTTATGCTGTTTAAGCCGTTGGTAGTTGCAGTGTACAAGGAGCTAACTTTAAGTTCATTTCACTTTCATTTGATTTGATTTTATTTTTTATATTTCCAGCACTCTTCATGGATAATCCGGGCACAGCTCTTACGAACATTTTATCTATATTTCCTTCGCATGGACATCCTTTTCAAATTTAAGAATTGCCGTGTCTACACGCGCCTTAAATGTTCTACTTTCGTTTTGCTTTTTCCAATGCATGGATGAAGGTTGATCATAGAAAGGAAATTCTCCAAAAGCTCAATTCCAGATAAATGATTATGTTTTTTTATTATAATGTAGCTAGAATTAAGCGTATAAAGTAAAATAACCCATAATGAAGTGACCACACTTAAACATGAATATGGTACATTTGAAAAAAGCTGCACGGTTTTTGAGAACGTAATTAACTTTGTTTGTCGGGTGTGTCGGGACTCTTATGACCCTAGTAAAGTAAATATGGACTCTTTCTACCTTAATGAAATGACAATTTTAACCCTTCTTGGTAAACGACAAAACGATGAGTGTGGTGATGTTTGATATTGCAGGTGCGGTTGTGAAGCTCCAATGCAACAACACCAAGTACAAGCTGGTCCAAACCAGCAAAAGTGACAAGAACGGGTACTTCTACGTGGAAGCCCCGAAGAGCATCACAACGTTTGGAGCTCACAAGTGCAATGTGGTTTTGGTGAGTGCACCCAATGGACTTAAACCCTCAAATCTTCATGGTGGTATCACTGGTGCTCTTCTCAGGCCAGAGAAGCCATTCTTGTCTAAGAAGCTCCCCTTTGTGCTCTACACAGTTGGACCTCTCGCATTTGAACCCAAATGTCATTAAAATGAGAAATTTGGATGGATGTAAAATTTTATAGAGTTCTGTTCTACATGCCTTTGTTTCTGTTATGACCTTGTCTCTGAGTATTTATGTGTTTTCCGTTTGTAATGTTCTGTGTTTGAGCCATACACAATAAGTGACAGGTATGAAACCAGATAGTATCGTATGAATTGTTAATTTAGTGTAAAAGAAATGTTGTTTATGACTTTTGCTTAAGTAGCTGCTGTGTCTTTTGTTCTATTGGTCTTCATTTATTCTTGAATTTTCGTACATTCTTCTACTGATTTATATATCACTCCTCAATTTAAAATGAAGCTAAAGTATTTGTATAAAGTAAGGTCTCACAATGTTATTTTAAGCTTTAAAAATGACGATATATATATAACCTATGTTAATCTAATTATGAAGTTAACAATTTTCTTTTTATAAAAGTTCATATAAGGTACATAGATTACGTTTGAATTATATATATATCTTTAAATTAATTCACTATAAAAGTTTGTAAAACAATTATTTCTTACTTTCATTTCGAATTCAATTCAAAAAATCAATTGTAGAGTAAATTCAATTGGAAAATAAATAATATTCCTTTTAGTTTTATTTTTAATAATTACTTCCAAACTTTAAGTTGAAGTTATAAGTTAAGAATACAAAATAGTTAGGACTTGATTTAATTTAATTTTTTATTTTTAAAAATAATTTTAGAGATCAAATTTTAAAATAAATTAAAAATTATTTGATAAATTTGTTTTTGAAATCTATTTAAACAAAAAATGGCATAAATAGTTATAAAAAATTTGTAATAAAAAATAAAAAATGAATCGATAATTTTATAATAATAAAAATGAGTAATTTAATATAATTATTAGATAAAATGTTAATGTTTGAGTAAGAATAGAAAATTATAATAAAAAATATATTTTATTAGTTTTGATGTATTTTAGTTTTAAAAAATTAAAAATAAAAATAAATTTTCAAAATTATATTAATACAATAGTAACTAAATAATTTTTCTAGTATTTAAAATTATTTTAAAAATAATAATTAAAAATCTGATATTTTAAAATATTAAAAAAAAATATTTTATCAAATAAGTTCATACCGTATATATAAATTATTGAAAGTAATTTATAAATTGTTTCTTAAAAAAACAAGAATGTGTTAGTCATACGTGTATAATAATATTATTAAGATTAATTTTTTTATCTGTCCAATTTAAATTTTTTATCCAGGACGATCTTATTCTTAGAAATGTTTTAATAAAGTAAAAAATAATTATATGTATAAATTACTGTTTATCCTAAACTAATTATTATGAGCATACCTTAGGAAACATAAATTATTCAAATGATTTTATCGATATAACGAGTAAATATAAGATATATTTATACTTTAATTATAATATATGAATCTGTTACAATTATTGGTTATCGAAGGACAAAAATAATAGTGAAAATTATTATTCCTTTGGTTTACATTATCATTACTCATGATTATCTTGTATCACGCCAAGTATTTAAAAGTTGACTAAAGTGTATATACATCAATGAGTGTAATGATTTATGTGTGGAGTTCACAAAACATGTCTATGATTAGAATTAGAAAATGAAAAGGACTATGTTTCTTCAAAGGAATAAAATATTTCCCTTTTATTTATAATATTCATATTTTTATATGCAAAAATTGTTTGAAAATTTTGAAAAAAAAAGTGTAAGGATTACTATTTTCAAGTGGACTTTCCATTCATCCTTTGTCGTAATAAGATTGGTAACTAATTTTATAATTTGCAATGTCAATCTTTCTATGTCTAACATTATCTCAAAAAATATTCAAATTTTTATAGTAAAACAATCAAACAGATATAATAATGAGAAAAAGACAAAATAGTAAAAGATTAATGTATTTTTTTTATTTGATATTATTTATTGGCTTTCAAGATGTTACTTAGTTTGATTTTATATTAAAATATTATTTAAATTTAATATAATTTGATTTCGTTCAATTTTAATTTAAAAAAAATCAAATCAAATCAAAATAAATAAATATTTTTTGTTTAATTTTGATATTTTAAATTTTTTATAAAATTATTAAATATATTATAATAAATTAGTTATTAAATAAATAAATACAATAAATTGTGATATCTATAATTTTAATTTATTTTTATATATTAAATTATAAAAATGAATAACTCTAAATATTAATATATATTTAATTATATATATATATATATTAATTTCAATTCAATTTGAAATACAAAATGAATCAAATTTTAAAAAATTTCAATATAATTTTTTTTTAAACTTTAATTTGTGATCGATTTTTCGATTTTTTTTATTGAAATTTATTTTATTTTTTATGATTTTGTTTTGAATATTTCATTATTCGCTAAAAAATAAATAGATATTTTTGTTAACTTTTTATAATATATATATATATATATATATATATATATATATATATATATATATATATATATATATATATATATATATATAAAAGATGACCATTTTTTTATTTAGATTCATATAATTAAAATTATAATTCTTTTTGTCATTATTATTATATGTTATAATTAATTATGAATATGAATTTAATAAAAAGTAAAATGATTATTTTAAGTAAAAATTAGTAATATTTATAGTATTATATCAGTATTTATTTTAAAAATATTATTTATACTTTAAAATCAATGTTTTTTAGACCTGAAGTATTATTTTTAGATTTTGGTGGAATGAAAATTACAATTTGTTTATAAATAAACTAACATAAGAAATAATTTATTTTAGAAGAACAATAATGTTTACAAATTTTAGAAAGAAAAATAATTTTTAACACCAATTAAAAATAAAAATAACTTAGTTGATGAGAATTAAAATAAATTAAAACAATATATATGATAGGACTGAAAAATAGTTTTTAATATAGTAACGTATTTCAATAAAATAATATTATAATATTTCTATTTAAAAACATATGAAAGTTCAGTTGACTTTTTGGTTAGCGAAAAATTGGCTTACTTTAATTACTATCAGTATTAAGTTTTACAAATATTAAGTTTATAGATTCTTAAAAGCGAATACAAAATATTTATCCTTTTTGTTAAATTGAAAATAAAAAGACATGCAAAAGTCTGATATAATTTTTTTACAGAAATATAAAAAATTAGGAGATAATGTGATTTGAAATAGTGTTGAAGTGATGCGTTTTATAGAATAAAAAAAATGAAAAAGTGAGAGGGTATAAAAAAGAAAATATGGTTAACTTGGATTCTATACTATACTCATAATGGGGTGGGTCCAAATAGATGGATGGGGTCTCGGGGTCCCCCAAAAGGACATAGTAGTTACAGCATGTAGGGAAGGTAGGGTAGGGGTACCTTGATTCTCATCAATCCTTGGATTCCTGAAAGGTAACCCAATTCATTATTAGTGAAAATGAAATGACAAAATTGTACAGACTGTTACACCTCATAACTCTGTTTTTTCATCTTTGCGTAATTACAGATTGTTACACCACTCTTCTGAAAACTAGTGGAAAACGGAGAAAAAGGTGTGACAAAATAATCTCGTGTAATTTTATTTTTTTCAAAAATCATTATTAGGGGTTGAAGGGAAAGATCACACTATGATGACGTTAAATTTAGTTAAGCACCCAAAGTTTTAATAGTATAAAATTGAATTTTTATTGATTATGTTAAAAATATTATAAATAAAAAATATAATTATTTAAATTTTAATATAATCCAAGCACACAATAATTATTAAAATAAGAAATAATTGCGATTCAATAAAATATTAAGAATAAATGTGTTATATGTCCAAAAATAAAAAGTGATTATATAAGTCTTCACACAACCAAAATAAATTAAAGAATTATCTTTTATATTATAACAAAACAAAAACAAAATAAACTAGACTACTCTAAACAATAAAACTTTCTTTGGAAATAAGAGTTATTAACATAAATAACAAATTTTAATTAACATTCCTTCTCTTAAACTATATGCATATATAGTTAGTTTATATTAGTGACCTTCCTTATTTTAAGTATATTTTAAAACTTTTCAAGTTGCTCAAGTTTCAATGATTTGACCATTATGTTTACAACTTGTTCTTTAGAGATGTAATAACCCATTTGCACTACTTTGTACCAAGTCTGATAAGAAAATGAAATCTTACTATAATATGATTGTTTATAATATGAAAAATTGAAATTCTTTTAAGTCAAATATATTCACACACACAAAGTATTGTAATAATATATTCTACCTTAGTGGTGGATAAACTTATAATAGGTTGTTTTTTTAGGCTCATGAAACAACTATAGACCCTATCATAAATATCAAACCAAAAGTGTTTATTCGATCATCTAAATTTCTTAGTAACTGTTGTCGTTATATGTTAGAAGAACTATTTTTTTTCCCTTTAATCTTATAGAATATTTCATGCTTTGTACTTTTAGATATTTTAAAGCCTTTTAATTACAACCCAATGTGACTATTTTGATTTGCCTTGAACTTAATGATCAAACTTACTCCAAATATTAAATCAAGTCGAGTTACTCTTAAAGTACATGAGCTTCCAATTGCTTGTTTGAATTTCATAGCATCTACTTCGCGTTATCCTCATCTTTTAATAAATTCATTCCTGGGACAATTGGATTCCTTACTGGATTACTTTCAGACATGTTGAACCTTGCTAGAACTTCTCGAGCATACCTTTTTAGACAAATAAAAATCCCAGTATCACTTTGTATCACTTCTACTCCAAAAAAATGTCTCATCCTTCCCAAGTCGGACATATCAAACTCTAGCATCATTAAGTTTTTGAATTTCTCACATATACTTATATTATTTTCAGTAAAAATCAAATCATCAACATAAAGGCTAACTGTTAGAATGTTATCTTCATTCTTCTTGGTGAATAAATTGTGTTCACTAGAACAACTTTTCAAAATTTTCCTTTACAAAATATAACTCAATTCTGTTGTACTAAGCTTTC